TGTATTTTGTAACATTGATGGAAGTTTAACGGGGGTTCCTAGACTGGAGATACCCCTCCCGCAGCTCTGCAATCAAATCCTCTAATTCTGTGGGATTTGCCATCCAGTGCATGTGAGCTGTGTGGAACCAGGAACATCTTTCCTTGGCCTGGAATTTGGTTTTGGTTGCCAACAGCACCTGGAAGGGTTCTTTTCACTTTGACTCTATCTGTCAGGCTGGCTGGAATGGCCAATGGGACAGATTCTTTCTGGGGAAAAGAGAAAACTACCAGCAACACTTGATCAGCTCTGTGTGCAAAGCCTTGTAAACTTTTCTTTCTTGTTTCAACTATAAAGTCAGGGTACTGGCATTCTGATGTTTACCTGAAAATCATTTAAACACACAACTCAAAGGAATACCAACAAAACCATCAGATCCTATACGTACACTTAATCAGAGGTGTTCATACTTTATGATAAGCACTTATTATCAATGATAAACATAATGCATAACAATATTTCAGTATTTCCCCTTTTCATACTCATGTGGCCTATAAGACACCCAAGCATGATTATGAACCAGAATCAGGAATATTATAAATGTCACCAGGAATAAAGCTACAAGTTCCATTTTCTTTATTATTTTCGTTTGGAGGATAAAAATGCAATCGCTGAAAAACACACATCTTTTTAGTTAGAAGTTATAAAAGAAAATTCACGCAACAGCCAGGAACCATGTCAGAAAACCAAGAGCAGCAGTATGTTTGGCTCTCCGATTGCCTAAAAGCAAAAGGACAGAATTAATTTTAGATATAGAAAAAGGGCATCAATGAGGAACCAATAAACATAGAAAGATCCTCAGAAACAAGAAAATCCCACCACCCCATATTTTGTCACACAGAATGGTACAATATCACAGGAGATAAACAAAGACAAACAATTCTCCAGTCAGGGTGTGGGCATAGATAGGAGTGATGAGCTCAGCAACTTGCAATATTGGAGGAATACAAATGTACTGGATTGGATTTTTAACTAATATTTTTCTGTTCCAGGGCAAGTTGCTACACAAGCATTGCTTTCCTGCAATCCAGGGCAGAAAACACTGTAATACTGTTGGAGAATGTTTGCTGCATTTATAACTGGTTTTAACTATTTCTGCCACTTTTCACCCATTTATTACATTTCAAACTAAGGACAAAGATTCAAGAACATCACACAGTTCTAATAAGAGGGTGTTTCCTTGGAACAGTCAGGTTTCTGATCTGTAATAAGCAGGAAAAAAAATGTTAGAGCCAAATTCTGAGGAAAATATTTTTTATATAAAAGCCCCATTAAATGACAATATCCAAATTTTACAACAACTGTCTTCCCAACAGGTGTATAAAAGCTTCTTCTTATAATGGAAGCCATTTTCATAAATTAAAGAATCTTAAACAGATTGCCAGGTGAATGATGAACTGAGGAATTATCCATCCATTTCCTCCTTGAATATAGTCAATAGGTAGCTCAATAATGGCTCATAATAGCCTTTTAAGGATTTTTTTTACATTTGGGCCTGTTTTCACTGAAGAATGGTGAGAGCAAATTATTTGACAGCTAACATTTTAATGTCCCGATCACTTATAATAAATGCAGATGTTATTGTCCTTCTTTCAGAAATTTAGTCACTGTCTATTGTCAAATGTTAATCCTAGCCAGTATAGAGTAAATGAACAGCAAAAGTTTCCCTGTCAGCCTTCCAACAAGAATACCAACAGAACAGCATTTCTCTTTTACAAATTTATGTAAAAATAAAATAAAAAAATCAGGCAGGGAATGAAGAAAACAAATATTCTGGGCAGTCACCCCACTTTCTGCTCTCTCAGCCTTTGAGCTTAACAGGTTACAAAATATTTTTGAGAGATACAGTTTTATGAAATTATTAATTTCTCCATCATCATTAAACGTGAAGACTCTGTTATCTTATCACTACAGCTGTATTTTAAAAAAATACTGTTTTAAAAATCTAGGGTCTTAAATCATATTAGCTCCATGAAATGAAGCGCACAAGGCATTCCCAAACAGGTTACAATATTCACTTCGGCTATGCTTGCTATTCTCCATTCTCTGAAATGCTCCAATCAAAATGCCTAAATTTTCTGTGACACATTTTTCCTTCCCACCATATTTTATTTAATTAGTTTTTAGTTGGTCTCTTGCGACTGAAAGAACTTTGGAAGCACAAGATTCCTTGCATCTCGTTTATGATATTCACGGTCTGAACTTTTCAGTTGCTTTTGTAATCCAATGATTACAAATGCAGAAGCATTTGTCTGAACTTCTAATAAATGCCAAGCTTCTTTTTGATTGCCAAAACCTGTCAGAAAGTGTACCCAGATTTTTGTCTCTGCTAAACACATGCATCTCTCCCCCTGTAGTGGGGCGGGGGGAGAGAGACCGTTCTGATTTTTAACAGAATACCTAAGCTGATATCCAGGAGTAGTGATGTCTCTAAAGGTCATAATTATCTGGCTCAGAAAAAGAATTTGCCCAGCTCATAATGCTCTCAGAAGCATTCTGAATCAAGTTCCTTTTCCTTGAGGAATTGCTCTCTGGCTTTCAGTGTAAAATGTTTTTAGCTTATCAGATCAGGCATTAATCAGATCAAGCACTATTCGCTGTAGGTGAATAGGCAAAAGCTGTGTAACATCAAGCCTTTTATTCTTGGGGAAATTATTGCCGATAGCTGAGAAACTGTATGAGCCACAAAGTTTTCATTTTTAAAAATGTTAAGTCCTTGCTCTCACTGATTGCTATAAACTACACTGCCAGACTATTTGATACAGCATCCTTTTTTTCCAGCAGCCCAGAGAACAATCAGAACAAGCCAACTTATGACACCAAGGCATGTTCTCACTAATCATGGTTTAAACAAACTACAGTTCACAGAGTTTCTATCTTGGAGAGAAACGAAGTTTATTTAGCAGGAAAAGCAGAATCTTTGATCTCTTTTTCAGCACAGTGAACAAGGTGAGGGAAGCACACAAGCCTATGGGAATTAGTATGCATATAGATTGGGTCCACTTCCTGGTGGGGCTGGGTTGTGGTCCGGCCACCTAGCCACTCCCCACAGTGTTGGGGTGGGACGGTTTCCGCGTCACGCTGGGGGAGACACCGGCCATGTCAGGATGCCAGGTGGCCAATCAGGTTGCTTGGTGCCATGGCCGGGGACGATTTAAGGCTTGGCACGATTCTGAGGCAGCCTCGCACCACTTGGTTTCCGCCTACCTCATAGCAATCATCACAACTTTGTAAGGTTTGGCGGTTAGGCATTGAAATAGTGGTGTGGGGGGGATGGGAGGTGCGGCCACCACCTGCCCCTCCATGCTCTAGGGTATTCCGTTAAAGGAATATGGGGGTGTGGTTTTCGTCTGAAGCCCGGGGAGCAGCTAGGGCCATGCCACGACCCCAGCAGGAACCCAGGGGGGCTCTAGCTGATCCACATCGTCGGGGCTCCCCCTACTGGAGGTTTACCCTTACCAGACTTCCTGCAAGGCGGGCAGGAATCAGATATAGTCTGTTGATGCCAGTGCCTAAGCCAATACCGCTCACATTCTGTAACCAATAAAGCTGTGGCCTAAATTTTGCCCATTAACATTTAACCTAAAATTATGTGTCCTTGTGCCTTTATTCTCCTGGGGGTGGCTTGGGGGGCCTTGACACACAACAGAAAACCATGGATTATTGTTAAACAAAACAGGACTAATCATATGAAACTGCTTGGAGTTATTCTGATGCATGCCTATCTTAATGCTCATTTCCATTACTCAAACCACTTGACAAAAAAATGACAGTCCTAAACCAATTTGAAATACTCCCCACAAAATGTTCTGCATGCCAATCACTTTGGAAAGCAACTTTCTAATCTACCCTGCTAATTGGTGGGGTGTTTTTGTTTGCTTTGCTTAGAATTGGATTTTTTTTTTTAATGAGCAACATTTATTCCCTTTGGTCAGAGATGAACTGAAGGTGTGAGATCCCACACTCTGGATCACCAGGTCTCAGAACTATCCTCAAGGATAATGTTGTTGCTGTTATAAAAAATTGACACCGCATTATATGCAGCATGCAATTCTTGGCATTTTGCTGATTGCCTTAAAATACATTCCAGGGTTTCTACTTCCCTAGATCTGCACTGATATAGTGCTCTCATGTGGTGAATTTCCACCTCCAGGCGTGCACTGGTGTTATGTTAATACCGTTGAAACTGACTGATCCAGAGGACTGCTCTCTGAATAGATCTCTACAATGAAAAGCCAACCTATTGTCATGGTTTATTCCACTTTGCTTAACGTGGAACACTCAAATCTATAAAGGGAATAAACCTATAAACTGCAGTGTTTTAACACCACCACGCCAACTTCCAGCCAAAATAATTCACTTTAACAGAACTTCTGATTGCAGCACACAGCCTGCACCCCCTCCCACAGGGACACTTAGCCTCTAACAAGGTGAAGAATTTTATAGGTGGCCTTACACCAAAGCTTTCAGATTCAATGCTCTAGTCTTCTTATCTTCTTTCCCTCCACCTTTACTCCCAGCTCAGTGACTGTAACTGTCAGGAAAGCAAAGACCAGCTCGATCAACATGTCATTTGATTCACGTAGCCAGCCAATGAGTATCTGGGAGAAGGGAGGAGCTTGCTATCGAAGGGACTCTTCACAAGTGAACAGTTAAAATAGCCAAGGCAGACATATACACATATCTGTATATACATATACACACACACACTTCTTTTCTCTCAGTGCCTTTATGCTTTTGAGTCTGAAAGGACATTCTCTCTCTCTCTCTCTCTCTCTCTCTCTCTCCTACCCCCAGCACTTTCACCCCATAATTTCTCTCTTTCTCTCTATTGCTCTATCTCTCTGTTCTGTTCTGTCCCATTTTTACTTGGAAAAGTGAGCCATCTGAAACAAGAAAATCTTGGACAATCTAGGTCAGACTGGAGCCGGGAAAGAGATTCTTCATCCACTATACCCGCAATGGATTGGATCACAAACATATCTTCAGGTGTCTACCAAACAGAGGATGAAGTGGAGCCACTGATTAGAAGATACCTAAACAGCACTGAGGACTACCTTACCTTTTTATATGGACCCAGACGGAGCCATTTGTTCCTGCCTATGACTTGGATATATGCTTCGATTTTCCTAGTTGGAGTGTCGGGCAACCTTTTAGTGTGCCTGGTGATTCTCAGGCACCGCAACATGAAAACGCCCACTAACTACTATCTCTTCAGCCTTGCCATTTCCGACCTGCTGGTCCTGCTCTGCGGGATGCCCTTGGAAGTCTATGAAATGTGGAGCAACTACCCCTTCTTGTTTGGATTGGCTGGGTGCTATTTCAAGACGGCTCTCTTTGAGACGGTGTGCTTCGCCTCCATCCTGAACGTCACCACAGTCAGCATAGAGCGGTATGTGGCCATCATGCACCCCTTCCGAGCCAAGCTGAAGAGCACCAGGCGACGCGCTTTGAGGATCATCATTGCCCTGTGGCTACTGTCTGTCCTCTTCTCTCTTCCCAACACCAGCACCCATGGCATCGTACTGCAGTATTTCCCAAATCACACAGAAGTCCCTGGCTCAGCAACGTGTGCTGTGGTTCAGCCCATGTGGATCTACAACTGTATCATCCAGTTAAGCTCCTTCCTCTTTTACGTGCTGCCAATGAGTGTCATCAGTGTGCTCTACTGCCTGATGGGGATGAAAGTGAGTCCTGCACTCTCTTTTTGTGTAACTTTCTTTAATGATCCATCTCATCTTAAATCATCTCATCCTGTACTTTAAATTGTTTAAAATTGAACCTCTACTGGCTTACCATTATCTTTCTGGCAATGCAACAGAAGTTTAGATTCTGCCATGTGGAAGTAATGCTTCGGACATTCACTTCCCATAACCATTCATTGCCCAATAATTAATGGAAACCCATTTACCCAACCTATTTATGACTTTTAAAAATCACACACATATCTTCTTCCAGCACTCTTGCAACTCCTATTTCATCCTCACCCTTTTTCACATTTGCAAAAGGATCCACGTGTAAGTTTGCTTTTTTAATCAACATTTAGCCAGTGCATGCTGATTAAGAATAAAAGTGCACTCAGTCTAAGAATATTCAGTACTTTTCATCTTTTTCTTGTAGCCTAATCTTAAACAGGCTTATTCAGAAATAAGTCCCACTGAACTCAATATTGCCTAGGAATGAGGTCACACAAGCATACCACATCACTGTACGATGCAATTTCACATGTGCACTTTGCAAGAAGGTAGAAAGAAGATCATCTAAAGACTAATAATAAAACAACTGGCATGCATGCTAGAAAAAGAAATACCTGAGCTGAATAAACAAACCACAACGGTTCTGCTAAGTTTGCATTATCAATCACTCTCCTTCTTTACTGTTTGATTATTGCCACAAAATGATTCCCTCTGCCCTCATACAGGCAGGAAGTTATTATTTCAAAGGGATCCTACAGAAATTGTTTAATCAAAACCCACCATAAGGCTGGCTTGGTGTTTTACAACAGCATCAGACACTTTTCAGATAATAATCCATTTGAAATGAAGTCACTTCTTGTGTTACAGGAAAAACCCACTAGGTCAAACCTTACACCAAATCCACAGTTAGGAGCTTTTCGGACGATTTGAAAAGGATTTTGCTTACCATTTCAGCCTTTTATATACAGATGCTTTATTCTTTATGGCGTATGCTCTTCCATTATGATATATTCTTCTGGCTTCATTCACAAAAGGCAACAGCAGTGGAATCATTGATCTAAACGTCACCTTTTGTGTTGATGCTGGTTCTGTAAGATTAAGGTACACATAAGTAGGAATCAATCCTATTATGTATGAAAGTATTGTTTTCCTTGCATGTCCAGCATCAAATTCATCCTGCACAGGCTTTCATCCTGACCTGTTCTGTGTGGAACAGGAAAATATGCCATTTCATTCAGAAAGAGAAGATAACACTTTGATTGTGGACTAAGATAATCACACAGAGTGCAACGTTTCTCTCTCTCTCTCTCTCTCTCTCTCTCTCTCACACACACACACACACACACACACCCTAGCACCATATTTGTGTCCATTATGTTCTGTTTCACAAGCTTCTCTCTTTCTCTCTAATTGTGAGGATTTGAATGCAAAGAAGACACGAGATCCTGAAACCTTAGTGGGAAAGTAGGATTTCTTTAACCTGCAAGAACCCTGAAAGCTTTAAAAGCTAGATTGAGAGTAGGGATGGGGTAGAAGTTCAGTTCAGTTTGCATTTAAGGTGAACTTATCTGATTCACACTTTCTGAAACAATACATGAAGTGAAGCAGGAAAAAAATGCACCTCTCTTAATTTTGCAATGCAGATTCTCCAGGCAAGCAATGTGCACAAAAATGCATATATTAGTGAATGGTGCTCCAGACCCCTTCCAATTCTGTAATTCTATGATTCTAAATAGCATGCAAAAATGCATTATGTTACAGAAAACTGCTGTGCTGAAATGTGCATATTAGGGGAGGCTGTAAGATCTGAGGCTGCTGAATAGACTCTTGGGTTGAGGTATTGTTTGGGGGGGTTACTGAGGGGAGGGTTGTTGCTGTTGGTTTTCTTGTATCTTTATTTTTGGATCTTGTGATTTATATGGAAATTGTTCAGTTTCGTTGTATGTTTTTGGTGTTTTGTTTATTGTTTATGACTACTTTTGTTACGTTTGTAATTTTGTGATTGTTTTTTCATGTTGCAAGCCACCTTGAGGATGGTTTGAACTGTGGAAAGGCGGCACACAGATCTGTGTGCGAATTCACATGAGGATATTTGGTTAAAGCAAAAATGCAAAGTGACATGGGAATGTGGAGAACTGAATTGAAGAATGGGAAAACAAGAAACTGAAAGTGACAGATTTCCCCTTGTTGACATAGCCTCTTCTGTAATAGTCATGTTCTAGTTGAGTTATGGAAGATTCTGACCCGAGCTACCTGATTTTACAGTTATGCCCAGGAAAAAACAGGGAATATTTGTGGTAGGCGCAGCAACAATTTGTATTCCAGGTTGGAAAAAAGTGAAGTAACCTTACACAACTTTCTTCACCCATGTCCACCAGAAGTTAGGGCTGGGGGTTTTCCCCTTTGGTGATTTGGAGAGAGCCAAGCTAAATGAGATGCTATGTGTCAGCCTGATTTTTGTTCTTTAAATAGCAGTCATGGGAACTCCACTGAATCATAGAATCACGATTGTACACAAAATAATGTGTACGAAAATGCATATACTAAGGCATCCTTAGCTAGCAGGACCAGTGGTCAGAGATGTAGACCAACAACAGGTGGAGACCAAAGTTTGAGAAACACTGTGCTGAGGTAAAGTGTCCATAAAAATGCATTTATTAGTGAATATAATGCACAAAAAATACTTTCTATGTGGGGAAATTTGCAAAAATGTGCATATTAGGCAAAAAAAATCATGCAAAATTGTGTATATTCAGAGAAACTGGCAATAAAATGTCGACTGATTTTTATGAGGACTTAAAAAAAACCCAACCTCACACTGGTGTGTCAATGTGGAGAACTGAACTTAAGATTTGAAAAATGAAAAACTGAGAGAAACCAAAATGGACAGATTTGTCTATCCCTAGTAATCACTCATTCCCCACCAGCATGCTCTAGCATTCAACACACAATGCTTCCATTAATTAGCGGAGGTTTGGGGGGGGGCAGAAGGACAGAAAGCCTTTCAACATACAGCTCTCAATCATTTAGAAACTAATTGCAAATGAGTTATTTTCCTCCACTGGCAGAAAAACAAAGCGATGCTGACAATCCCAGTAAACTTATAGGGAAGGAAGAAGGCATGAGTTATGCATTTAGAACTTTTGCTAATCAGCAACATTGGTATCCCAGGACATTATGTAACAGGATTAGGGCTGGTTGCCATTTCCTTGATTATTCCGTTATTGATCATGCCATTTGCTAAATAGGAAAATGCATTGAAAAGTGTGAGTTGAACAAATGACTAACAGAAACATGCATAAACACCCTACAAGCAAATCAGGATGCATGCTCATTTTTTTTATATCCTCATGGCAAAGAAATCAGAATCTAACCAGTAGCAGTAGGTGGGGCAGAGCAGGGTGGTGTGGCGTTGCTCACCTGGCTTCCCAAAATAGAGGTTGCTACTGCGAGATGAGCGCCACAACCCCAGAGTCGTCCATGACTGGACCAAATGGTCAGGGGTCCCTTTACCTTTTTACTGGTATCTGATAGGGATATGGGAAGGGGTGCAACAGCAGAGAGGTCAGTTTGGTGCTGGCACAGTGGCAGAGACAATCCAATACTTATTCTGCTGTACCTCCGTTGCATCCCTGCTTCCTCACCTAGCCTTGACCTCTCTCCCTCTGTTACCAACAGTGACCCCCACACTGGGAAACCAGGTGAGCAACACTGCCCTACCCCATTCTGCTCTGCCAATCACTACCAGATTTATTCTTACCCTTACATAAGCTTTGCCCAGTAAATAGGTCATCTGGATGATCCCTAAGTGCATTAGTGATTTCCATGAGATCGTACACATTGTTACTACAAAGATATTTCTGATGCAATTCATGAAACTGAAATCCAAGTCAATTTGTTTCAGACCTCAGAAATAGTAAAATTACACTGCAATTCCATGGAAGTCCCAACGTGTTCATAGCAGTAGGTATGTTTATGATTGCACCCTTAAGTGTAAGTGTACAATCGTTGGAATCCCACCAGCTTCATGCGACTTTATTCAGCTAGTGGCATGATAGAAGTTTTAAACTGTGAATATTATAGATCCCAAGAATTTTGCTGCAAGGAATGCAGAGTAATAATAAAAAAGTCATATAGTATTTGCAAATGCCTGAAGGTTAATTGCAATATGGGACTATGTTTTTATTTAATAAATATGTAGGCAAAAAGATAATTTTTCCTATGGAGCATTTTTCAAGTTTATTGCCATGCTACCACAATAAATACTCCATGGCTTTTGCTGGGGTGAAAAAAAACCTTTCAGGCAGAAAAGGCTGACTCATGTAGCAAAAATAGCAGCCATTAGTTGCTTTGCATGTTAAAGCAGTAAAAATATATTACCAAACAGAAATGAATTTTTAGTATATTAAACACTGGAAGACCGTGATGAGTTGATAAATGACAGAAATGATTTCATATTGACCATAGCTTAAAAGCTCATAAAAGAGCTTTTATGAGCAATAAATCCTATAGCATAAAGCAGGTGGAGACAAAGACAGAGCCCACAGAAATCATGGGAAACCTATATTGTGCTTCCAGACAAGAGGCTTATCTACACTTCTTTTTAGCCATTTTTTGAAAGTGCAGCTTTACTTTACAGTATTCTGCCTATTAGATCCAGCTGCCTTCTTGCTAAAAGCTACAGAACGTTTTGCTTTCCAAGCTATTAATTAAAAACACTTATTGCAAAACTCAATAAGAATGCCTTGCCATCTGATTAGCAATTAATCACCATTAGTAATAGCTAATAAATGTCTTTCTATTGCGCCTTGTTTTTGCTCAAGTATTCTCATAGGTATTAGGTAGGATTTGAGCATATGTTTAAATTTGATTTGGTTTTGTAATAGATCACAGCTACATGGTGGGCGTGATTCAGAATAAAATTAGTTGTGATGAATATTGCAATCCTGGAGTGCTGATATGAATCTTATACCAGTCATAGGGTTGGGTCAAGACTGGTCCTACAATGGTCCCTGGGAAGGTGTCCTGAAGAATGTTTTAGAATACCACTTCTGAGGGTAGACACCTTGGTCTGACCTTGGAAGAAGATATGTGGCCTTCTCTCTGCTGTGGCAGAAACCTCAGTCACCCTTCCCTTGCCAATGTCTGAGATCCATTGGGGGGCGCGGTTAGAATCTCCAAGTGGTGAATATCAGGGTGCACATGATACAACTGTACCAGAAAGTAGCATGAGCCCAGCAAGGCATTGGCAAATGATGGTTCGTTTTCCTTTGGTTTTCCTCTCTCCCGTTCTGGATTACCACCTTCATTAGTTAAACTGAGTCTAGCTACAACCCACAATCAATGGTGCATAGAAACATGCTTAGGACCAGGTTTTAAGGCCCATTGGAAATATAAAACTGATTTAAAATCAAACCAAACTTCTGTATTGCAGTGTTGCTGTTCTCAGCAGCTTTTGGTGGTGATATACATAAGAGAGGCAGGATAGAAATTAAAATAACAAATGAACAATAAGAATAAATAAATTCTATTTGCTCATGCATGTTTGTACCCCACTTTCACCAGAGGTTTCATAGAGGCAAGATATTCTAGGATGGGTTTTTCCCCACTCAGATCTCCTTTGTGTCCTCCACCACCCCCTGCTATACACTCATTTTTTCAAGCACCATGGAAAAGGTTAAGTGTAAGTACATCTTTCTGTATTGGAAAGAAATGAAGTTTAAAAAGCACAGAACAGATGCCTCTGCAATCCATTCACCAGAAAATAAAATGCATACAGGATCTTGGACAGGGATTTTCACACTTTTTTATAATGCATCTCATTCAGCTAAAGAAATAATAATTTAAACAGCAATCTGAACTTGTTCAAACCATAATCGCTTGCCATTAAATTCAGAATTGAGCTAAACCTTTTCATTTTTTGCTTTTCTTTGGCTGGAGTTGAATCCAGGCTAATTTAATAGCATTCAGTTCCTATTAGTCATTACTAACTTTACAATAGCTTCAGTAGAACCCTCAGTCCAAGTAACATAGTCTGGACCCAACCCATTGTGGCAGTATAAAGTGAATTTTATTTTCATTTTCAAAAATTACTTGCCACCACATCAGTAAGAGGATTGTGGGAAGCAGGGGATATTAGTTTTACCGGTTCTGTAAATTTTATTGCATTTAGCTAACTCCTGAAACTAAAGCTCCATTCAGACATTGGAATCCAATTTGCAGGGATGAGTCTGCTATTTCTGCCCCCTTTTGCCAGCACCCTTCATGAACCAGAGACATAACTCCTGAATTGGGGAGCCTCTCCCCCCCCCCCCAGTCCTGTAGACTTAGAACCTTGCATGATTTAGAACCTTGAGAGGAATGGGCTTCCGACTGAAGATGATTGTTTATGACTCAGTAAGGTGATGAAGATGGTAATGGGCAGGGCAGAGCTAGCCTGCTCACCCCTCCTCTCTCTCAAATGATTCTGATCACATGTGGGATTGGAACACCCCAATGGAATTAGAGCTCACATCCTTGGTAGGAAGTTCGTGTTCATGGAACATTGTCATTCTTCTTACATGCAGTTTTAGAATATATTTGATATGGTGCTTCTTATTGCTCTCCCTTCTTCTATTCCTTATTAATTTGGGGGTGTTGTTTTTGCTTAACTTGGCTTTCAGCTGTTGGTCTGAGTTTTTTTGAATACTTTTGCACGTTCTACACATGCGATGCCCCTTTCCCTGAGTTCATTGTCTTTATCTTGTTAATAAGATTCTGTGTGACACTAGTGATGTGGAGCACAAATTGGCACAATAAACCTCTGGTTCTTTCTGAGCTAATGAACTGCTGGAGGAGGTGAAGATCCCAGTTCGCTGACAGTCATTTTCAAAGTACCAGAAAATGGCTTTCTTGGCTTCTCTCTGTTTCTCCTGGCGTTCAGAGTTCTCTCTCTTTCTAAGACTTTTTGACAGCACTTTAGTAATTAAAAGGGTAGCTTTCTTAACAAGCCTTATTTCACTGCAAATCAACGATATCCTAGGCAAGAAATAGTATAGCACATCAATACATGATAACTTTCTTTTGAAATCTCCAGAGCTGATGAATACACATACAGGGTTACCAAAGAACCCACACACTCCCCATTTCTGGGGCCAAGCTGATGTCCATGGATTAAAAACAAAGAAATAAACTAAACTCCATATATATAACACCAGTGGTTCTGGCAAGCAAAGGAGTTCAAATTTAATGTTGCCATGAGCCTTCAGCATGCTTGCTTTCTCTGGTTACCTCTATGGGTGGAACACCCCTATTTTCTTGGTTGTACATGTTGCAGAACTGGACATTTGTGCATGTTGTGGACTGGACAAGATTCCATCGGAAGAACTTTCTGATAGTAAGAGCTGTTCAACAGTGGAACAGACTCCCATGAGATGTGGTGGACTCTCCTTCCATGAAGGTTTTTAAGCAGAGGTTGAATGGCCATCTGTCATGCATGATTTAGCTGAGATGCCTGCATTGCAGAGGGTTGGGCTAGAAGATGACGCTTAGGGTCCCTTCCAACTCTACATTTCTAGGAGTTGCTAACTTAGTGCCTCCAGATGTTGCTGCAAGTTCAATCAGCCCCTGCTAGCATGACCAATAGTCAGGAATAATGGAAACTGAAGTCCAACAATGTCTGATTATCTCTGCAATCTCCTTAATTGTACACTACAGGCGATCTTAACTGTACACTACACAGTATTCCAAATGTGGTCATGCTTGTTTTTCTATATGTTGTTGTATCTTTAACAATACTTTCCACCAGTTTTTCCAGGACAGACTGATTTTCACTGATGTTGTTAGATCCATTCCTACAGCAATGTTTCCTGACTTTTTCTCCTCCAATTACCAGCTGAGAGGAGACTGTTCTTTGGAAGTAGATGAAATGGGAATTAATGTTAAAAGACCATCCAGAAAGTCTGTCACTAAGATGTTATGTAAGTAACAAATTTGTGCTTTGCATTATGAATGAATGTGAGGCAGGCCAATGTATGATAATGTATTTTAGGATAAGGTTACCAGACGTCCCTATTTCCCGGGGACATTTCCCAGATGGCAGTCAAACGTGGCAATCCCTATTCGCACTGCGTCCCTGCACTTTTAATCAGAGATGCAGAGTATGTATGTGCAGTGTATTTCAGGAACCAAGCCCGCAACCCTGTACTACTAACCAGGGAGTAAGTCCCATCAAATTCAATGAGGTTCATTGTTTAGTACAAGGGTAGTCAACCTTTTTATACCTACCACCAACTAATATATCTTTCTTGATAGTAAAATTTCCTTACCGCCCACCAGTGCTCGATGGAAGGAAGATTCAGCTTGTGCCGTAGAACCCCCTACCGCCCACCTGGAATCCTGAAACGCCCACTAGTGGGCAGTAGGGACCAGGTTGACAATCCCTGGCTTAGTAGATGCACATTGGGTTGCCGTGAACCAGGACTTTCCACTTCTGCTTGTGATTAATTTTGAAAAAGAACTCGGAAGCTTCCATGCAATTACAGCCACAAAGAACTGTACAAAGCAATTTTAACCTCTTTCATACATGAATAATTATTAGTTTAGCAACAGCAACAATAGTGTCACTATATCTTGCCCAAGGCAACCCAAAGTGACTTACAACCAATGAATACATCTGGAAAGCATTATGCATGTGTCTGTCTTGATACCATTAGGTGCAAGACTCCTTTAGGACTCTTGCACCTGTGGGTGAGATAGATCTGGTGTCTATGCAGGCACACAACTGATTTTTTTCAAATCTACATGTAGGCTAAGCTCACCAACAGATACAGGAGTCCTGAGAGAGTCTTGCATCTCGTAGTTACATTATGTGGCAGATGCTAAAATAGGGATGGGGAAGAATCTTAATTCAGTTTCCACTTACCAGTAAATGTGATTCACACTTCCCAAAACAATATGCTGTCATCCTGCGGCTAAGTAATATGTACATAAAAGCACGCAGCATGGTAAAGTGTGCATAAAAGGCATATATTTGTGAAAACAATATCCAAAGTGCATTATGTTAGGGAAAATGTTCATACTAAGATAAATTTGCCTAACATGCTGATGAATTTTCATGATGAATTCTTTTTAAATCACAAGCTGATGTGGGAATGTGGATAACTGAACTTAATATTACCAAAAAGAGAAGAAAAAGAACGGTGAGAGACCAAAATTGACACATTTGCCCATTCCTCTGATGGAATAATAAAATGTCCCATGAGAAGCAGTGCCAGACCTTCAGTTTATACAGCCCCATCCAAATTTGCACTGGCAATGGCTTGTCTAGAGTTCACTTATTCTAAGTAGAATGTTCATTAAGAACCAGTCAAGTATTTATTTCCACTTGTAAAATAACACACTGATTTAAAATATATATCAATGACATACTGAAGCCTGTTATCAGTGTAGAATCAAACTTTTATTGTAAGCTAATTTCATCTTGTATGAGCAAAACAGAATGTTACAAATGGGGAAAAAAATATTTCTGTTTGATTAAAGTGGGAAGCTTTCTGAAGTATTCGCTTTCTTGAATCACCTGGTTTGATGCAGTAAAATAGCAGCCTATATGTCTTGCTCTTCCCTCATTCTTCTCTCTCTGACAGTTGTCCTAGTAATCGTTTTCGGCATATGCTGGGCTCCGTTCCACACAGACCGACTCTTCTACAGCTTTGTCGTAAACTGGACAGAACCTCTTGCCAATATGTTCAACTTAATCCATGTGGTGTCAGGTAACTTTCTCTTTCTCACAGTTTGTTCAGCACAAGCAAAGCTTCCTAAAAGAAAACTCTGATGGTTATGTTCAGTCAGAATGACATAAAATGACCCTCTGATAAACCAATGAAAACTATAATTCAACAAACTGAGACTTGGAAAGAATGTTCTCCAGTGAACAGCAACTGCTGAATGAAAATGTGTTTTCTTCCTCTCTTCCACACTACAAAGGGCCATGGGTCAGGCAAAAGGCAGTAGCAGACAGTGGGGTGAAGTGGGGTGCTCACCTGACCTCTGGTCACCCATGTTGCTGCTGCATACCAGGGCAGAGAGGTGGTGTGGTGGCAGGGTTGGTGCAGTGCAAATGCACTAACAGGAGCACAGAATTGGCTCCTCTGGTACATTTGCAATGGGCTATCCTGGTATGCAGCAGTGATGCAGGTGACTGAAGTCAGGGCGGACTTTGGTCTTTCAAATTTCAGCAGCGCCCTGTGCTTGCCCCATCTCTTGTCTTCCATTTTGCTCTATCCATTGCTCAGGCTTCATGCTCAGTGCTGCAGAACTGGTCATGCTGCCCTAAACCCACCTCTGCTGAAGGTCCGATGATTGCCACCACTCCACTGTCCACTACTGGATGAAGGTTCCAGCCTTTCTTCCTCCAAAGTCTGTGCTCCTGTGCTACTGTAGGTGGGGGAAGCATTATATTGCAAATCAATACAAATACTCTCCCTCTCCCTCCGTCCTTGATAGCTTAGATGTGACTTAAAGACCCATAATATAAATCTGTGCTAAGGTTCAGAAAACAGAGAAGGTGCAAAGCTGCCACAATGCTAGTTGCTTGGACCTGTATCTTTAAGAAAAGCATGACTTCTTAAGGCTATCGTGACCCACACTCAGCATTTTTACTCATAAAAATAAGCAAGACCCATTATTATTGCTACTAGGAGCCAGTGTGGTGTAGCAGTTAAGAGCGGTAGACTCGTAATCTGGTGAACCGGGTTCGCGTCTCCGCTCCTCCACATGCAGCTGCTGGGTGACCTTGGGCTAGTCACATTTCTTTGAAGTCTCTCAGCCTCACTCACCTCACAGAGTGTTTGTTGTGGGGAAGGAATAGAAAGGAGAATGTTAGCCGCTTTGAGACTCCTTCGGGTAGTGATAAAGGGGGATATCAAATCCAAACTCTTCTTTTTCTTCTTCTACTAGACTATCTCTTATATAGATGGGATAATAAACAAAACGTTCTCTTTGCTGATTTCTCAGCCAAGCAAGGAATCTCATTAGAAAGTACAAGGAAGAAATAGATAGACAGATAGACAGATAGACAGATAGACAGATAGATAATAGATGATAGATGATAGATATAGATAGATAGATAGATAGATAGATAGATAGATAGATAGAAGATAGATAGATGATAGAAATTCTTGTTGTAGGTCCAAGGGTTTATAAGCACCTAATTATATTACTGCTGCAGACACAATGCAGATACATAGGGTGCAATAACCACCAGCCGAGCAACTCTAGTATTTAGTGGAAATCCATTATGATGGCTGAATACCGGATACACCACAACTATGACAGATGAACCCTGTTTGTGCTTCTTGCTTGTCTGAATGGAGGATAGAGTGCTGTGTGTAACAAAGCATTCATTGCTCCTTGCACTTTTGCCTCTGGCCCCAGTCATTGCTGGCATATGAGAAGGGGGGGGGGGGAGGTTGCTCAGAAGGAAATGCGGCTCTCGAAGTTTCCCCACTCCAGCTTTAAAGCACACACACACACTCCTTAATTTATATATAATTAGGCAGACCTGTCTTTGAAAGACACAGGTTTGCTATCAGCTGTCATGTGGTAATTTAGGTTGGTCCCAAGGTGTAGCAGATCATTTTCTTACAAGCTTTGAACATAACAGCTCCTTTCCCTTAACTGCTTTGTATTCAGACTGGAGCACTGTAATCTCTTTGACAGCACTGCAATAATTTTTGTCTTGGAGAACAAGTGCAGCTAATATATCTAAAAAACATTGCCTTTAATTAGGCAGAAACAGGGGCTGTAAATGCACCACCTGATAAGACTAGCCTTGTTCCTGTCAGCCAGTTAAGCTGAGCAGAGGAACTATAGCTCACAAGTTGTATTCCTGTTTCTTTCTGCTGTTTCCCCTCTCCTAGGCATTTTCTTCTATCTGAGTTCTGCTGTTAACCCTATAATCTACAATTTGCTGTCCAGGCGTTTTAGGATGGCTTTCCTGAGTGTCATCTTTCCTCAGTGCAAACACTGGCACCCCAGACACACTACCAGTCGCCTCCCATCCCAGCGGAGCATCTTCATGCTTGGGGAACTCAATGTTGCAGGGTCTGCAGAAGAAAGAAGCCATCCATATCCGCAGAGGTCGTCTGTCTGCAGCTCTCAACTGTCTGGCGGTCTGTGACTAATGTGACCTTTGGATGTCCTCCCAGCCGCACGGGAGCTACTTATCCATGACCAGCTCTTGCACAGCTGAAAGATCATATGAATGACCCAAGCGTATGTTTATTTCCTTTGAAATTGGCACGGTACCAGGAGGAGCAGGGCTCGTTCTGTGGGAGAGGCTACACAATCAGGCCCCAGCCACATGGTTTCCCAGCTGTGCAGGAGATGCTCGTGCATAAGGGCACCTTGTTGGATGCTGAAGGATGAGGCCCACATGAGAGATGTGAGGAGAAATAGAAATTACACTTCCTTTTGAGGAGACGGGGGGCTTTGGGGAGCACCCTTTCACCCTACAAATTGTCGTTCTGTTGGTGTTCATTCTACAGCCTTCCCGGGTATCTATACTTCCAGAAAGTCCTCTTACGGCCTCATCTGGGCTTTCCTGTAAGTGTAAGAAGCTAGAGGAGGCACCTACCATGTCTTTGACAGTTGTTCACTGTTATTTTCCTTTTAAAGAAATCAGTGCGGAAAGTGAGTGTGTTTTTTAAGAAAGGAATGAATAAATAAAAGGAAGCTGTTCCTTTAAAAACAAAACCAACAAGAGCACCAGTCTCAGACACCCGGTAGCCAGCTTCTGCAACTTCTGGTGCTTCAGTTAATTCCCAGGGGAAAGGCATCATGAGGTAACTCATGCCATGGAGCTATTAAGATCAAGTAGCACCAGCATCCAGAGAAGTTAGAGACTGCTGGAAGAAAGATTGAATAGAAAAAAGGTAAAAGACCCCCTGGACTTTTAAGTCCAGTCAAAGGCAAATATGGGGTTGCGGCACTCATCTCGCCTTCAGGCCAAGGGAGCCGGCGTTTGTCCACATACAGCTTTCTGGGTCATGTGGCCAGCATGACTAAACCGCTACTGGCGCAATGGGACACTGTGACGGAAACCAGAGTGCACGGAAACGCTGATTACCTCCCTGCCGCAGCAGTACCTATTTATCTACTTGCACTGGCATGCTTTCAGACTGCTAGGTTGGCAGGAGCTGGAAAAGAGCAATGGGAGCTTACCCTGTCACGGGGATTTGAAACGCCAACCACAGTGGTAGACCACAGAGTAGACCACAGTGCTACCCATGTCCCTATTGAATAGAAATAGATATATATGCACAGCACCTTCAGCCAGCTTGCAACAGTAAGGTAAGCTCAATCCTGCATTCACCAGTGTTATAAATAAAAACTAAAGACCTTCTAAAGCACCTTGAAATGGGACAGAATGACAGAAGCTTCTTTCATGGAAGAAAATATAAATTTCAAGAGATCAGAGGACATTTTTGAGCACTGTATGAAACTTTATTCATTACACTACAATGACTGTCTCATTCCCTTATCCATATTCAGTAATTATTGTGATTCAAATCTATCCCTTCTTTTTTTAAAAAAAATTTAAAACATTCCTAAACTGTCCACCATCCTTTCAGGAAACCAAGGTTGGGATACAACATGTTCCAATACAACTAACAATAATAAAGCAACTGATAAGGTCACGTGATCAATTAAAATTTATGATAAGTAAATAAAAAAAATTCTGTCTGGTGCCTAAAAGATTGCAGGGTAGATACTGGTAACAGTGGCAGAGTTAGCTGCATGGGTGCCCAGAACAGTGGCCATGCCGTGCACCCGGGGGGTGGGGCGAGCTGCGGGGGAGGGGGGATCTGCCACACAGGGTGATTCATGGGGTGGTCGGCAGTGGCAGCAGGGTGATTGGTCGGGCAGGGCAATCCACCACGATCCGCTGGGTGGGGCGATCTACCACACAGGGCAATTGGCAGCAGAGTGATCCGCCGAGCACGGGGGCGGTGGGGCAAACCCCCCACAGTGTGCCTTTTTGTCACCCCTCTCACGGATAGCACCCGGGGCGAACCACCACCACCTTCCTAAGCCCCTGACTGGAAAAAAATCTCTTTAATAAAGCTCTTTAGAAATCTCCATAACTGAGACACCAGAGCTAAAAGAGCCCTCTCTCCTTTGGAGTAGGATAGTATATGCAGTATAGGAGGTGCCTGGGGAAGAGCCTCAGCTGAAGATCTAAAGGCAAATTCAGACTGAGGTGGGAAGGGGTGCTCCTTCAGGTATCTGGATTAGTTAAAACTCAGATTTAGTTTGCCTAAATGAATAAACAACATGCTACAACTACCCATGGAAAATGAAGCATTAGATGGACAGAAATAATTTGTTCTGATTTGCATATTTTCTACAGTCAAATGCATTCCCATTAATACTATTTTTTTCAATCAGGCAGAGTAGAGAGAAGTCATGTGAATACAGAGCACAGATTCCCAGACTTACAAGGCAATATGAAGCATGTTTTCCCACTGTATTCATTGGGATTTTCTCCAAGGTACATAACAAGTTTGCACACTTTTAGATTTGGGTCTACCATGTCAATAGAGAGATGAGACTATCACCGGCTCTACAAATTCTGGTATTGTATATTCACCTATTTTATCTGTTGTGGAATGAGCATAATTAGTGCTTTGGTATTGTTCGTTCTTGTGGTTCGGATAGCATAGTACCAGTCCAGATACAAGTGTGGCCTTTATGTGTGTAATGTACAGATAAACAGGCAAATCTGTGACGTGTCAAACTCCAACATGTGGTAAGGAATGGAAGATCTTCTCACTAGTCATGTGTAAGGTGTTTTTCTCACTGAACAGAGTCCTGGTACATGTAGATAAATTGGATGCATCAAAACAAAGCTCAGAGGTTGTGTTCCTTCTCTTTCTTCTCTACTGCTCAGAGAAGGAAGCACATCTTGTTCAAATTACAGTGATCCCTCTATCATATGCATCCCATAATTTCTAGGTTATTCTGAGTTTCACAAGGAAAATCAAATGGAATTGAAGTATACTCTTGAAATGGTCAAATTGCCACATATTAACCCATACATATACATATATCTGAATGTTGAGATTTCCATAGTATCTACACATAGGCATCTATCTTACTAATACATAGCTCAGTGTTTATCAGAGAAAAGATTAAACTTATGTATTCAGAAATGATGCTTCACCAGTTCAGCTAAACTGCCACAAGTTCAAACAAATGTGACACTCTACTTCCAATTCACACAAAATAACAGTGCACTATTAAAATACCTCTTGAGATAAACATGGATCCTAATAATCACTGGACACTTTACTTCTCCCTGCAGACACTGGCAAATCCTTTACTACCCCCAAGTGGAGAAACATATAAGTTCAGTTATTTACATTTATATCCATTTTAACCTATTCCTTCCTTCAATCATTAACATTCTCTTTTTTAAAACCACAATTTCATTGCGAATTACTATTCATGTGACCTTTTTATACCTTTACATATTTTGCTAACTCGCAATCTGATAGGTGATTTGGAGTTGCAGACACCAAGGCTTCTGAAAATTACACTATCCCAGTGACTGGGAGCACTGGCAACATTTTGAATGATAACTCATGAATGGACCCTTCCATCCTAAGCAGTCAAATGGATACAGTTTACCACTAAGGGCTACGCTTTGGGTTTCACTGGGAAAAATGATGCTCATTATTTTCTCAGTAGCAGGAGAAGAGCAGTTGCTATGAGTTCCAAACTTCTACAGCTCTTTGGTACATATCTAGTGGAATATTTAAAAATAATGTATGACTGATTGCATGCATAAAATTTCACCAAACAGCAGTCCAGCCTTCATCACAATGGATACCCACTGGTGCTTTAGCTATGCTAGGATCACAGGTTAGATAGAATCTTTATTTGCATCAGTCACTAGCCATAGCAATAAAATAAAATACAATGTACTGAGGATAGAGCTAAATGCTTAACTATACAAAGTACATTCTAAAGGTTAACACCACAGGATTAAAAAGGAGGGAGCAGGGTTAGGTGCCCCAGTTCTATTTTCCATCTCCCCTATAATTTTTATCCCTCCCTCCCAAAGAAGCCAAGAACAACAAGCCACAAGAAGATTGTTTTAAAATATAATTTTATTTTCAAATAAATAAATAAATAAATAAATAAGAAACCAAGTATCCTCTCAACTATTAATTTCAAAATTGCCCGAAACAATGTTTTTCACCCACCAAATGCCTTGGTGAATGGGAATGTTTTAAAATTCTGCCTAATTTTCCTGGAGATTTTTTTTTTTTAATGCGAATCCCTGCAGAAATGTGGAGAATTGAAGCTAAGTTCGGAAAAATGAGAAACAGAGAGAAGTGAAACTGACAGATTCATAGCAAAGAAATCTGAGGGATGGCAGGAGTACACAACAAGTTGCAGAGCTCCACAGAATGCAATCGTGGAACCCACCCACCGGTTTGAAAGTGACACACAATTCACACAGCCAGTAGCATCAACTGGGCTCAAAGTCTGAACCAGCCAACTGCTTCAGTACAACACAGTCTGCAATGGGAACCCGAGACATCTATGATAGACCTCTGAGCATAGTTCTCATAGGCTCCTTCTTTTGGAGATTACTCAGTGTAGTAGTCCATGGCAGGCAAAGAAGCCAGCTGGCAAACAAAATGGCACCCATCCAGGCATCAGACCCCACCTTAGTGTTTCATCAAAAGTCAGCTGCTTTCAGGAGTTGACAGCATCACAGATCTTTCAGTGCCTAAAATATTTCCCCCTCCCTCTCCTGCCAGAGTTCAACAATGTAAAATGCTGCTTTTTTTTCTGTGTGATTGATCATAAGCCACTGTGGTTTTTGAACTGTCTGGCCTGCGCAGGAGCATGACAACAACGGGTAGGTGGAAATGTCAGGAAACCTATAGCAGTTTGACAGTTCAGTCTCTTTAAAAAAAAAAAAATTATTAACAAACCAATCAAATCACATTAATTCCAAATTACACAGCCAAATTTTAAATTTTTGTTGGGGGTACCCATGTTTCGAGCTCCGAAAGGGATCCAGTCATCTTATTGCTGCTGCTTTGATGTGCACAATTCTGTCCAAATAATGTTCACAATTCTATCCATTCCTTCTTTGTTGTT